TCCCTCCCCCAGACCCGCTCCAGCAGGTTCATGTCTTGCTGTTTGAGGGGCCCCAGAGCTGGATGCAGCATCCCAGGTAGGGTATCTCTCATCAGAGCAGAGCAGAGGAGAAGAATCCCATCCCTCATCCTGCTAGCCATGCTGCTTTTGATGCAGCCCAGGATACAATTGGCTTTCTGGGCTGCAAGTGCAGACTGCCAGCTTATTTCCTGTTTTTCATCCAAAAGTACTCTCAAGTTCTCCTTGGCAGGGCTGCTGTCAACCCCTTCACCCCCCAGGCTGTATCAATACCAGGAGTTGCCCTGACCCAGGTGGAGACCTTGCACTTGGCCTTTCACTGTTGCAAACAAAGACTAACGTGTCCGTTTCCAATAATTCTGGAACACATTTAGCGGTTATGAAGAAAACAGCAGTTCTTAACCATTAGGAAGACATCTCTGGCTTGAACTTTCAATGTAAAATGTAATATAATCTTGCATGAAATAATCTTTCCCCATAAAATTTACACATAAGTGTGATTTCTGTAATGCTCCATGGAAAACTACTTGGTATTTTGGGATGAGGAAGGAAAAGCAGTAAAAGTCTTGCCTGATGATAATGATGTTGAAAACAGAATTTTAATGTAATTTTGAAAATTTCAGAATTTCTACGGGGCTGCTCTTCAAGTAAAACAGATCTGTCTTTGCTATGTGTCACTACCAATTATGCAAACACAGAAATATGATTAGAAACGTAAGTGGTTCAGCACACGTATCAGTAACCTCCAGCTTCTCAATTTTCCTTCTTACTGGCATGAGTCACCTTAGCAAAGCTGACAAAACTTCAACAGTGACAACTGCCGACAGCAACCTCTAGTTATCAGATTCCAAGGAGAAGTTAATGAACTACTCAGGTAACGGTAACTACATGACATCTGAACAGCAAAAATAAATCCAACAAACAAAATCCATCAAAAACAAATTAATACCCCCCCCCACAACACAAAAAAAAACCCAACAAAAAAATCCCTCCAACACACAAACAAAAAAAAGATCTTAACCACAAATAAACAAAAATCAAAATAATCACAAAACTTGCAAGCCAAACTAGTTAATGATTAAGAAACAAAGCCCTGCTACTGAAACAAAAAGAAACATAGTGATAAGCAATCACAGCAGAGATATCACAGACCAGGAGCAATAAACTGTTCAGGACAGAATAAATCAACCATAGCGTTAACAAGGTTTTATACAATGAACAAAAACATGACATTTTCTAAAATAATTTTTATAGTTGTTCCATTGAATAAAAGCTAACAGCTTTAGAAAGCATTCCTTTTCATATTAAAATGCTTAGTTTTCTTTAATTTTTTGCGTGTGTAGGTCAGATAGGAACACATAAGAGATACATGTAAACTCACATGCAATATGTAACTGTGTCCAGTAAACTCCATGTTTTGTGCAATAAGCCTAATCATGTACTTACATACATACATACCTAGTCCTATCTAGATATGTATGGCACAAGTGAAAATAAATGGAGTGCATAAAACTTACTTGCCTAAATTTTGGGTTTTGGCTGTTGATATTATTATTATAGTGCCACTGTTGTAATTCTTCTTTCAAAATTAATCTTCATTCATAATACTCTGCTGATGCATATATACATGAATACAGAGCACCACCACCATTTGTTTAGCTTTTTAGCAGACTTATAGCAAAACTGTAATTCAGAAATAATAGACTGTATTATTAAAATATGTTATTCTTTTGATTACAGACTGAAGTAAAATTTATTGAAGAAGGAATTGACAGAGTACAAGATCATAGAAAAGCCTGAAATAAAGTTTTCAGAAACCTCTTCTGTGATTTGTAAATACAACCATTTACTCTTTCCACATCCGCAAAAAAAAAAAAAAAAAAAAAAAAAAAAAAAAAAAAAAAAAAAAAAAAAAAAAAAAAAAAAAAAAAAAAAAAAGTTGCTACAAATTCCACCAATTTGCTTCTGTGTAGACATCTTTAATGAAACAAGTCACATGTTCCAAGTAGTTGAAAAACACTGTTGCTTTCCTTATGACTAAAGCCTGTTTTCCCGGCCAAGGAAGAAGAGGAATTTTCCTCTGTACACAAAAGAGATTAAAGAGAAATTAATCCACCACACTTCACATTGAAAATCAAAAAGATGAAAGTAAGGATAAAACAGCCATACATGTAAGGAAGACACAGTCTCTTCTCATTGCTAACCTCTACAGCCAAAATCCTCTCAAAAGCCGTCTGTCTCTTTAGTGAATGTACTTAAATTACAGCACATTATTGATGTTATGTCTACAACTAAAGCTCCATTTCTGGAACTGGTAAGCACAGAAATGCACTCAAAGAAGGTGCAATCAAGGACGTTTAGTCATAATGGAGGGATCCATGCAAACAATTTAAACTGCAATATTAGTTCCTTACTCTGCCGAGAATGTTTTCGTGACTCTGTATATCCTCTGCATACTATATGAACTGTAAAAAAGGGGTTGGCTTGCTTGTTCCTGATTTTTCAGGTTTATTTTTTAAAGTTGCCCAATTTCCAGTATGTGCTTAGCCATGCCTGGGAGGGGGATACTGCTACTTACATAAAACTACTACTGTATCAAGACTAAATTTTTTCCACTGGGTAAAAAAAAAACAAAAACAAAAACAAAAAAACCAACCCAAACCAACAACAAAACACCCAAACAAAAATAAAAAAAAACAAAACCCACACCACACCCCCGAGATCGCGAGCGTTTAAATTCATTCAAGGGCTGCTCTGACGGCGTTCCCGAGCCGGGAAGCCCAGGTCACTCTGTCACAGCTCGCCCCGCAGCACACGCTCCCATCCTGACCACTCACTTTTCTCTTCTGCCTTCCAGGCAGGACTTGCCGGCTACGAACAAGGCAGGCATGAGCGCAGCGGCGGGACCTGGCTGAAGCCAGGCCATCGGGCAGCTCCGAACTTTAGGGCGGTCCCGGCCGCCCCGGGGCAGCTGCCACCGCTCCCTCTCATCCAGCTCCCAGGGGAGCCCCCCGCCCTCCGCCGGCCGAGAGCCCGGGCCGGAGGCGACCCGTCTCCCCCGTTATCCCCGGCCCGCGGCTCTCGCCATGCCCCTTCCCCACGGCCCCCCGCGCACTACCCTGGGTAACCTGCCGCTCGTTCACCTCCGCACGCCGGCTGCTCCCTGCTCCTCCGCTCCTCTCCGCTCGCCTGCCGGCGGCACCGAGGCGCCGGAGCCGCCTCCCGGCCCGGCCCCCCCGCGATGCGCGGCGCTGCCGACGCCCCGATGTGCGGAGCCTCCAGGCTGCCCCCGCGACCGGCTCCGCTGGCCGTGCCTTCCCGCAGCTCCCGCCCGAACCTCGCCCAGCGCCGCGGGCACTCACCGGCTCCTCACAGGGGCTCTCCCCGGCCCTTCCCGGCGCCTCCACGCCCGCCACTCAGAGCTTCCATGTGCCCAGTGGCCGCTCCTCTCTCCCGCTCCCCTCCGGCTACGGCGCCGTCTGGAGCGCCGCTCCAGTGGGAGCCTCAGGAGCAGCCGGGGCTGTCACTCAGCTCACCGGGGCCCCCGGCGCGGCACGGCGCTGCGGCTGCCGCCGGCTCGCTGCCCCTTTGTTCGGCGGCGGCGCTGACAGCTGCTGCCGGCGGCGCTCCGCGGGCCCGGGCGGCCGCACCGCCTCGGCGCCTCCCCGCCCGCCAGCCGCGCCTCCTGCTCCCGGCCCGGCCCGCAGCTCCGCCTGCGGTCAACAACCGGCGGCGGCAACACAAGTTCAGGCCGCCGACCCGGAAACTCATCGGCAACCGAGGCCCGCGGGGCTCCGACGGGAAGCGGATCCGCGCCGGGGGAGGGAGCGGGGCGGGGACGGGGCGGAGCAGGCCGGGACGCGGGGCCTGGGCGGCGGGCGCGCCGGGAGGATGCGGCGGGCAGGCGGCGGCAGGCACCACCGAGGAAGGCAAGGCAGGCAGGGCGGGAGTGGGGCCGGGGCGACCTCCCTCACCCCGGTCCGACCTCCCTCACCCCGGTCCGGGGCGGTCCTGAGAGCAGGGGAGCCGCTCCCTCCCGCCGGGGACTGCGGGAGCACCCCTCGGGGGCCGCTGCCCGGCGGCTGGGCGCGGCCGGGGGAGTTCGGGGCGTTTCCCGGCCGGGCGGTGCGGGGCCGGAGGTGTTGGGGCGCGGGGCCGCCTCGCGCCCGTCGTCCTCCGGCAGCCCGCGGGGAGGCAGCCCTGCCCTGAGGGCTTCCGACGGCCCCGGCCTCCCTCCTCCCTGGCGGGCTGGCGCGGCCGGAGTCCCGGAGGGAGCCGCCCTCCGCCTCGTCCCGGCGGGTCCTGCGGGAGGCGGGGAGGCCGGCGGTTCTGGGAGAAGCCTGGGGGAGGCGTGTGCCTTCGACCGGCAGCCTTTGGAGCGGGGCCGCGTTGTTAGCGCCCGGCTTTGGTCAGAATCAGTTCGCGGTGGTGTCTTCTGAAGCCGGTTTTTTTTATTGTCACATCCTTAGGGCACGCACCCCCTCCCCGCCCCCTTCGTCCTCACTTTTTTGTTTTCTGGAGTCGTATTGCAAGTCTCAGCGCTGTCAGTTTCACGGATATGCGCATTCTGCACTGGATTTAGTGCAGAGCAGTGGCAGAAGGGAGTTCACCCACTGCTCGTTCACCTGTCCCACCACCTGTCATCCAGGCGACCCGGTCGTACCAGTGCAGGTTCCTACCACACAGGCCTTTGACTCTGTGTATCCAAGCATGTGTAAGGAAACCCAAAGAGCAGGCCTTTCCCCGCTGTGTATGAGGGATGGTTGTTTCTTTATCCTAAAGGAGGAATTCTTGTATGTCAGCATGTTGCTTATTTAATGTTTTTTGACGCTACTGTAATGCAAATTAGCTCTTTCTCTTCAGATGTTACACTGTTCACATACCATCACTGAATCCTCTAACTAATGTATTTATCCTGACTGATGGTGAAAATATCCATGCTATTATTTATGTTGAGGTTTTTTCAATATCTTTTCAGGTAGCCTTGATCCCAGGAAAAATACTGGACTAAGGGCATAGAAATCTGAAGACCTCTGTTTCTTCTAGAAGAGGTGGAGATGCTAGAAACACTAACATTTAAAATATGTGGAGGAATTAATCTGCAAAAAGCATGTGCTTACTGGTGCTATGGAATGAAGGGGTGTTCATTTGCAGATGAAGAAAATGATCAGCTGGAAGGTGGAAATGGTCAGACATAACCTTCTTTCTGGAAGCTGATGTGATTTTGCTTTAGGAGGTTTTCCATATAATTTCCATACAATTTTGTGATTTTAGGAATTGTCACCTTGGTTTAATAGAAGGGTAAGCAAAGCTTTTTCTTAAATCTAAATGCTTCTGTTCATTTTTTTTCAGAAACTAAAGATATATTCCTTTCAAAAGCTCGATTTGAATGAATTGTGCACCAGTTTGCAGCCCCACTGAAATAAAACTAAGTAAATGAATCCATATTGTAGTTTATTTTTATCAGCTTTGTTACTTGGCTGTAGGCAAGACTGTGTTCTACTTTGCAGGGGGGGATGAAAGCCAGGTATTTTCTTGAAATCCATGTGGAACTCATAGAAGTGCAATACTTCTTACAGCACAATTTTTAAATGACAGTGCTTGTCATTTTGAAATGGCTTTCTTTTTCAATTTCATGTCTTTTCCAGAGTTCAAAATTTCTTTGGCCTTTTGTCTGGTTTGCAAAATGGGGAAGATAGTTACAAAGTGGAAAAAAAATACATTACTTTTATTTTAAAGATAGGTTAGAGAACAAGCTTATTTGTATCAAGTCTATATGATGTTCTATTTTCCCCTTTCATTAAAAGGAAGCAGAATTATATCAGCCATTGGCATTTCTCCAGCTAAAGAACAATAAATGAATAATGCAAAGCATCAGTGGATATGAGCACTGCATCCTGAAGTTTAGTGTGGTGTTGGATGTTTCTTTCAGCTGAACGTTTTCTTCCTGTTTATTCATTATTTCCAGTGATAAAGTAAGAAGGAGAGATGGGAAATCCAGAAAACATTGGAGATGCATATGTTGCTGTGATTCGTCCAAAAAATACTGCTAGCCTCAATTCTCGGGAATATCGAGCTAAATCCTATGAAGTAAAGCTATTTCTTTTCTTTATGTATTAGTTTTTTGGCTTTTTAAATAGTGTAGTAAATATGTAATAATAGAAGAGAATGTAGGCTTGTCTTTTTAGTCTGCTGCAGAGGTCATTCTGACTTTGCCATTCTGCCCCTCAACATTTAGTACTTCTTGGATTTTGTTACTACTTTTACAGTGGCATAATAAATAATAATTTTTTTTTTAAAGTTCTGTGCTTCTTTCAGCTGTGCTTAAACTTCTTTTGTTTCATTATTGTTTGAAAGATTCTGCTTCTTGAAGTTCCCATTGAAGGCCAAAAGAAAAAAAGAAAGAAAGTTTTGCTGGAAACTAAACTTCAAGGAGGCACTGAGATAACCCAGAGCATCTTGGATTATGTATTAGAAACCACCAAACCAATTTCACCAGCCAATCAGGGTATTAAAGGTAAAACCATTTTAATGTAATATACTATTGATAGCACTAAACTTTTTTTTTTAATTGGCATGGCAAAGTTGTGCAAAAGCATGAAATTAGTATAAAGGAAGAAGATACATTTTGAGGTTCTTCAAAAAAACCTAAGCCAACTATGCAGCTGAAACCTTTCATGTACTTTTGTTTGTGTTTACCTTCCAAATCTATAAAATTCTTACTAAATGATTGTTAATACATTAATCTTTGTGTGTGCTACTTCTTCACCTCAAGTTTAGATTTATTGCTAAAATTCTTGTAAACCAGATCAAAGTGGCTTTTGTATCCATAACTTCAGCTAAAACTTGACTTGGACTACAGAACTGCTAGATTATTAAGTCAGTTGTTTAGAAAACAGTATCTATATGAAGGTATTTCTAGCATAACTGTATCACTCGCAGATGGAATTTGATAAGTACATTGTTTTCCTTGTTGTTACATAGCTGATCTAGCAAAGAACATCACACTTGTGCTGACAAATTTACAAATTTGTTTTAGCCAGCCTATAATATTTCCAGGTTGGTATAAAGTATAATGACTAAAGGATTTCTGGTCTTTGCTGTGGACTTCATCTCTGTTGTTTACGTGGTAATATGTTGCAGGTGGTGATAGCTGCAGGTGAGTGGATGTAACAGAGCTATTAATGCAGCAAACACAGAATAACAAAAGTAATGCACATAGAGGAATGCCTTCTAAAAGCAAATACTCTGTTCCTTACATAGTTTGGAGAGTTTTAATTTTACTCACTCAGATGGCCCAAGCATTAATTATGCCCAGCTTAGTTTGTACGCTGCTAAAATATGCAGCTGAGGTTGGAAAAGTTCAAAAGAGCTACAGTCACGTAATTTTTTTCATGTTAATGGGTATATACATATTTATTTTTTTAGTTTTTCATATGTATTTAAATTTTCTTCACCTTCTTTAGATTATAGCTTGTAATTGTATTTTTTTCTTCTTAGAAAGTAGGAAGATTGAGTCTGGTAAGCTTTCAGATAGCCAACTCTAGATTTTTCCTTTGTTTTGATGATTCATTAATTGTTTTATGTTTTGTCTGGTTTTTGTTTTTAAATAATGTGCTAGGAAAGCGTGTGGTGTTAATGAAGAAGTTTCCTCTCGATGGAGAGAAGGCAGGCCAGGAGGCATCTCTTTACATTGTTCCAACTGTTGTGAAAGGTAACAGTGAGCATGATTTGTGAAGCTGCACCCATTTTAATAGAAGTTCACTTAAGGAATTCTTTTTTTTTATATAACATATTTAAATTGTATGTATCTGTCTCATTGATATATGATTATAGGTATAATTATATATATATATATAATATACAACATATTTATATAATATATTTTAATATGATATAGGGCTTTTTCTGTATTTAAACATTAAAAGTTGCAGGCAGGTGCAAAACACCCTGAATATTTTAAACTTAGAAGAATTTACTTAAAATCAAGGCAGAAACATTTGGTTTAATGTATTGCCTTTGTTTCTGTAACTATAGCACACTTTTGGTTTAAGCAGTATTTGTGCATTTGATTATATTTCAAAACCACAGGCCTTAACTTGTATAGAATTTGCTGAATGTAACTCTGAGACATCCTACTCAGTTCAGTGTTCTCTACTCAGAGAAGAATAAGTAAGTCTCTAAACAGTAAATAAATTCCTTAGAAAGCTAAGTAAATTACTCGTCTGGAAAGTATTTTTAGAAATATTGAAGTAAAATGTGTGCTTTTGGGGAAACTTCTTCATTTTTGCCTTACTTATAAGACTTGATAAAACCTATCAAATAGATACTATTGTGGACTTACCAGTACCAATACATACCCCTGCTAGTCCTGAGTCATCTTCCTTTTTTTTTTTATTGGTAACAGGATGCATTTAACATTTATTCCTCAAATGAACCTGGTCACACTGATGGAATAATGACAGAATATGTAGGGGTTTAAAGCTAACCTGTTGGATTGTGAATTGCTATATAAGGATTGTATGTAATTGCTATCAGTTATTATTTGGAGAAAATTAAGTCACTCCAGTCTAAAGTTAGAGTATAGTCTTAATTAGGCATGTATTACTACAAAGGGAAAATAAGATTATTCTCACTCATGTGTCTTCAGAGAATGTTTCTTTTTTAGATAATACGAAATATACATACAGTCCTGGATGCCCTGTGTTCTACTGTTTTCAAGACATCATGAGAGTCTGCAGTGAATCCAGCACACACTTTGCTACGCTTACTGCAAAAATGTTAATTGCCTTGGATAAGTAAGAGACACCATCAGTAAAAATACATTAAAATTAGAAGTTTGATATTTTATATCAAAATATAAGTATATATTTAAAAGATAATTTGTCAATGTAACACATAGTTTTTATAGCATTCTTGTGGTTAAGAAGGAAATCATGGTATTTTCTTCATGTTTATCAGAAATGGAAACCTTGACAACATATTTCTGAAAGTCTTTTAGCAAACTCAAGAATGGTGTGTTTATCTAAATCACGTAGCTTTTGGAAATTCACGCTCACGGTGAATGTTTTTGTAAAATCATAATGTTTAATCTTATGTAAATGACATAATTGTCATTTGAGTAAGAACATTTGCCAGAGTGTAGTAAAAATGTCCTGTAATTGTATACCATTAAAATTTGCATTTAAATTAAGTCTCCCTGTAGAAAGGGAGTGCATCCTCCCCAGATACACAAATTTATTTGCAGTAGGGAATTAACTTTCAGAAAGGTGATTAATTGTTTAGCCAGATTTATAGTAGTTTGAAATTTGAATGCATGAACAGTTGTTTTGGTGGGATTTTTTTGTTGTTTTGGGTTTTTGTTGTTTTTTTTTAATGTACCCTTAACCAAGAAATACAAGACACACTTATTTGCAGTAATAAAGTTAGTTGAAACCTCTGGCTAATGTAAAAAATCATGCTACAGGCTATTACCCAAAAGATCCTGTGTGTAGGGTTTTTACAGTTTATTAGTAGAGTTGTAGTATTTCCATGTATACCATCATACCAGTTAAATTTATTTGCTGCTTGCTGAATGCCTTCAGGCTCTAAGTTCTGCTTTGAAGTGTTTCAAGCCTCACAAGAAGCCTTGGAAGTATAATACTTTATATATATATAATATAACAGTTTATACTTTTTATTCTCTGTGTACATAATCTGAAACAATACTTCTCGAAGATTCAAACTGCCATAACTATTTTATCTACCAAATATTTAGAGAAAATGTCTGAAAATACCTTAGAGGATGTTTATAGCACAATGACTACAATTTTACTGTTCTTTCTGCCAGGGCCATGAGTAAGTGAAGAGAATGTTGCTTTTGCAGGACATTATAGCTTGGATTTAGGACTTAAAAATAGGCCTAAGCATATGCACTGACCTGCAGGTTAACTTCTGCCATCCTTACATATGATTCTGGGACAGACAAGATCCAAGTGGTCTGTCAGTGGATATCCAAAGCATGTACTTACTTCTCTTTCTTCTATTTCCAGGCTTAATCACTAAACAAAATGTATTGTATTTCAGCAAAGCACATTTTTACCTCAGGCTTGTGAGAAAGCATGTGCAGAAACCTAAATACAAACCTGGCTTTAGACCTTTAATGTACCACTTAATACAACACTGAAACAATTTAACAATTCAGTAGAAATGTATTTATCCAAAACTTGAGCTTGTCCTGAGCCCTGTGTTGTATTGCATATGTGGTAGGAAAAATGCAGCAGGTGTACAGTACTGACTTCCCCGTTAGCACAGAATAAGAGCACTCTAAAGCTCTTCTGTACTGTCAGTAGGAGTGCACTGAGAAGAGAATAAACTTTAGCAGAGCTTTATAAAAAGGCAGGTGGTAGCTTATGTGAGAGAGACTAAGCGGTTTGGAAACTGAACCTTCTGGTTTGCTGCCTTTTCCTGTCTTTCCCTAATGAAACACGTGAGTTGAAAAGCTTAAGTCAGTAAAGATATTGAAACTTGCCCTTAAAAAAACTGCTTTAAGTTTCAAAATTTTCTCAGAGTAGTAATGCTAATAAACTGAAAGTAAATGAAATGTTGGTGTGGTTTTGTGGTTATAACCCATGTTATTCTTACTGTATAATTTCCTTCTCTTTGAGTTTGCATCCACACAAAATTGAACAAATACAACTGTTTAACTGAGTGTAGTTAACAAATTTCACATTCAGGGAGTAGTTTAGTGTTATAAAATTGGCTGTGCAAAATATATTTATTTATTTATTTATTTATTTAATTCTAATGTGTGATTATCATATATTCAATCCCTAATCAATCAAAATAAAGGACAGCATGGCCAAAATGATAATTTTCTACCTGAAAATTAATTACTTGCCCGTTCTCTCCTGCAGGTGGTTGGATGAACGGCATACCCAGTCTCACTCCATCCCAGCTTTATTCAGACCATCTCCTCTTGAGAGAATTAAAACAAATGTAATAAACCCTGCCTATGCTATAGAACCTGGTCAAACAGAGAGCTCATTGCACATGGGTTATACTGCCCTGGAAATAAAGAGTAAAATGCTGGCATTGGAGAAAGCAGATATGTGTATCTATAATCCTTTGTTTGGATCTGACCTTCAGTATACCAACAGGGTAAGAACTGTATTTTCATTTTGTATTTTGAAACATAAATACATTTTCATTTTAGAGTTCATTCATTTATTTGATATGAGTGTGTGCTCACATCAGAGTTGTTTATTTAGCAGTAAGTGTGCACTAGTTTTTAAAATCCTCATATTCGATCATAATTCTCCCTTATTATAAAATGTTACTGTCATAACTTTGGTTTCAAGAGAATACCTGACACCAGAATGGGGGATTGTGTAGCCAAATCTCAGTAAGATATTTTTTCAGTTGTGTTTAAATTATGTCTTCACAGGTTGACAAGGTTGTAATAAATCCATACTTTGGCCTTGGAGCCCCGGACTATTCAAAGATTCAGATTCCTAAAAGAGAAAAGTGGCAACGTAGCATGAGCAGTGTCACAGAGGACAAGTATTATGTTACATTCCTTTTTCATTAATGGATAATTTTGTTTTGTTTTATTACAGTAGCACTTGGTAGACTTAAAATGAGCTTCCTATTACCTTATGTTTCACTGTAGAGATACATATTTTAAATGAAATTCTATTTGACATCTTAATGTATTGAAATACAGTAGTTAAAGGATGAATCAAGAAAGGTATAAATTATAAACATTAGAGAAGCATTTCTTATTCTAATAAATACAGCTGTGGCTTGATTTCTGCATGACAAAAAACCTATTTGTATGAATACTGGCACATTTTAGCTGCATGAACTTCTCTTTTATTCTTCATGTAGATGTATGGTTAGTGCTATAAAAAGTTGATGTTCTCAACAATTGTAATATTTCTGAATGTTTTTTTTCCTTCTTCCCTTTTTAATTCATAGGGAGCACCAGTGGGTAGATGATTTCCCTCTTCACCGCAGTGCTTGTGAAGGAGACTCTGATTTACTAAGTCACCTTCTGGATAAAAAGTTTTCTGTTAATCAGTTGGATAGTGACCACTGGGCACCAATCCATTATGCATGCTGGTGAGTAAAAGCATAGTTTTTCCAAACAAGTGCATTCTAGCTGTCATAATTCTTTAGCGCTATCATTTATGTAATTTATCAGCCTCCAAAAGAAGAAATAAAAAAAAACTCTAGACTTTTCATGCTTTTGTTATAATATATGCTAGTGTTAGTGCTCTTTCTCTTTCTGAAGAGAAACATTGCTTCAGGTTTTGAGATAATTTTAATTTGGATGGTTTCTGGGGAGACCAGTTGTGGAGATCATGTCATCAATTACTTATTGCTTCTTGTATCTCTCCTGACTATTCTAATTCCTGCTGGAGGCACTGGGTCCAGTTTAGCATGGTAACCTTCACAGTCTGTGTTGGCTTAAGCCTGTGAGCAGTTTTACAGCACAGCAGTAGCTGACCTGAGCATGTTTTGGTGCTGGACACCCTTTAAGTGGGAACCTGGACTAGGTGATTTACAGAGGTTAATATGTCTGACTATAACTCTGTGATTTAATCTGTAAGTGCTTGAAAGTTTTTCTCGGTCATAAAAATGCTTTTGTTTTATCTTTATGGAAGTTAGTCTTTTGTATATATAGTGGTCAATATGTCTGATGATAGAAATAACATGATAATCAAACTTGATTATAAAAAGCCCTCATTCTTACTTACTTTTTAGTGTTTGTCAGAAAGTTTGTAAATACTTTATACATCAAATATACACAGGAGTTACCAGTTATAAGCATGGGGGTTAAGAATCCTCAGGAGCCATCTGCTTGACAAGCAGAAGCTGAACTCTGATTCTCACACTCATTTTTTTCCAGACAAAGCTGGACTCTCTTCTGCCATGACTGAATTGCTGCAACTAGGCAAACTTAGATAGCTTAAAGCAAGATTCAGTTTGTCTATCATTAATCCAATCAATGCTTATTAGACCAGTGATTACCAAAGATGTGTAGAACTGATATTAATTTCTACAAACTTATTATGTTCCATTATATCTGGAGAAATTAGAAAGCTAAAAATGCTTCAGTGTGGAAAAAAAATACTTTTTCATATATAGGACCATCTGAAAAAAAAAAATTATATATTTGCTATGTGTGTTCTGATTCAAACATGTCTGCAGGTATGGAAAAGTTGAAGCCACTCGAATGCTGTTGGAGAAAGGGAAATGCAATCCAAATCTTTTAAATGGTCAACTAAGCTCTCCTCTTCATTTTGCTGCTGGAGGTGGACATGCTGAAATAGTACAAATTCTACTAAATCATCCTGAAATTGACAGGGTAAGTTCTGTTTGTGTATAGAAATAGCAGATTTAGGAATAGTTTCTAGCTTGTGTATGAGAAATATTTTGGTGACAGATCAATGATCTTCTTTAGAAATTACTGAAAAACAGTTAAATGTTTTTGATTACCTCTGCTTTTCCCATTGTGTATCAATTAAATGTTTGAACTCTGATATCAAGGATTTTGATTATCTCAAAAATACGTAAATATTTACCTGTCTCCAGTGAAATCAATGTAGAATTAGTGTTTCTGTTTGTTTGTAGCACATTACTGATCAACAAGGAAGATCTCCGCTGAATGTCTGTGAAGAAAACAAACAAAATGAGTGGGAAGAAGCTGCAAAACTACTGAAGGAAGCCATAAATAAACCTGTATGAGTTTATTTTCTAAATATTTTAAAGTTTATAGTTAATTTACACTTAATCTTTTAGAAGAGCTAGAGTCACTTCTGGCTGTTACTGGAAATGTGCAGCACATTGAAATTGTTAGTGTAAATATTGGCAAACTGGCATTTTGTCTCTTTAAATGTTTCTGTTCTGTTTCATGGCTCAAGAAATACATGCAAGACATGTAAACATGAGGCTCCAATTTATTTGTAGGAGCATCACGTCAGCTACTGATTTTATGTCTAATTTTGACCATGCAACCATCAGCTCTTTATGCATTCTTATCTTATATGTTGATAAGCAGGAGCATTCATCTGGCTAAAGGTAGGCTTCTATGAAATAGGCTTTTCGTCAGTTAGTGCAGGGATTTAGCCAGGATAGGAGACGAAATTTACAATGTAATTCCTCTTCTCCTGAAGTAGATTTAAAAATTAGTCAAATGATATAAGCCCAGTTGCTTATTTTCCTTGCCTTCAGATGCAACCTATATCCCTGTAAGTAGGTGGTAGTAAACCTGTCATTTTTTTCAAGATGTTTTAAATTATCTTGATTTCACTCTGCATGAGTGATTTCCAAAATAATTAAGGAAGGACCTGACCTTTATTTTAAGGATCTTACGTGGTGGATCATGTGAAGGTGTGTCTAATTCTCTAAAGGCTAATGGAATAGTTTTAAGTAGATTTCAGTGTGTCATGCATGATGTTATGTTGCTACTTATTACTATTTAATTAATATAATTAATATAAACTCCCCCTATAAACTACTGCAGTAGGAATGATGGTGACTACTGCAGCAAAAATAAACTGATGTTTTCCATTCCGACCTCATTTTCAATCAGTTGTCCTTTTCCAAATCATCCATGTTTTTTTTCAGAAGTTTTTAGGAACTCAATTCTTGATGACTTAGTAGATTTGAGGAAGAGAAATAACAAATTCCTGAATTGTTTTTTTTCAAGCAGCTGAAACATCTAATCTGTTACAGAAATGAAAAAAAGACATTTTATTGATTTATGACTTGTGTATGTATGCTTTAAGCACCTGATTTATGCTTATGTATGTCTTTCAGGAGACATACTGTAGGCTCACATGCAATTTAGTGAAAGCTATGGGAGTTCTGAAGGGGAAAATGATTTATTATAGATAAGATTTATTTTGATTCTATTACAGGAACACTATAAGACTTAGTGAGATTGTATTCTTGCAGCAGGTTCTGAGTAAAGAGTGGTGCTTCCCTCTAAAAATAAGTATTTTTAGTATAGAGTGGAAAAATTCATAACCCACCAGTAATAACAAAGTGAACGTTTTGGGATATGCATAGGCAGCTGAGCCCAGATCCCTCGGAGAACTTTTAAATACCTACTTGCCTTTGAATTGAAAAGAAGTCCTCAGAATACCAGCGAGATCTTTCTTGGAGTTACTGCTGTAAACAACACAGTATAAGAACTTCACAGAACATGAAACAAGCAATTTGGATAAATAATAAATATGCAGGAGTTGTGAAATGTTCTTTTTCCCAACATTATAGATGTTGCTGATAAATGGTAAAACTGCTTCCCTCTCTAGAAACACAAACAAAAAGGATTTTAACAGATTGTTTGTTTAATATGTTCCCATTTTTATGTAGTATGAAAAGGCACGAATTTATCGCATGGATGGGTCATATCGCTCTGTCGAGCTGAAACACGGAAACAACACAACTGTCCAGCAAATCATGGAGGGCATGCGCCTGTCTCAAGAAACTCAGCAGTATTTCACTATCTGGATCTGTTCTGAGAACCTCAGTAAGTAAAAGGGACCATGGTCATACTTGGGGGTTTATCACAGTTTATTTCTGTTCGCCTTTAGGAAAAAGTAATACTGTCTTGGGAGAGTAGGAGACATGCTCTTTGCTTCACAGCCTCATGTCTCCAAACTGCTTTCAGAGCTGTGGAGAGCTTCTCTGTTTTAGCTCTTACTTTGGCTACTCTAAATAGGTCTGACTCTATCACTCTGGCATCTGTAATGTATTTCATCCAGGAAGATGAGGCTCTTCCAGGTTGACTTTCTGTTACAGGGCACTTTGCCTATCATAGGCCTTACTAGTAGCTTATCCTGGTTTTATCCTTATTTTTCTTCCCAGACTATCTCAATTTGGATGTAGTTGTTTTTACCATTGTTTAGTCTTTTTATAACTTTTTATAATTAAAGATGATTAATATTTTTCCATTAGGTCCTTTAATCATATGAATTTCCCTGTGATTTACACCGAAATAATTTTTGATAAATAAGTTTTCAAATATATTAGATGGGAGAAAATTCTGATGTAAAATGTCACATTTATATTTATGGTATTTTTTGGTATTTCTGATTTAAATACAAAAGCTATTATAGTTTTTATTTGAGATATATACTAGAAAATAAATAGAAGCCCAGAAGAGTCATTGAGTGTGGTTGGGTATTTTCAGATAATGTGGGCAATGGTTCTGCTGCAACAGGATAGCTATGGGACAGGTTGTGGATTACAAAGCTTAGTTCAGGTCTGGTAGGATACTGTGTTGACAGTGTCATTAACACAGAAGCCTTGCATTTAAAATTTTATTTACTTTTGCCGGTGCTCTGCTACAGTGGTATTGTTACTTATTTTTTTAAAGTAGCTCTAATTACTCCAGGAGATCTTTTCTTTATTTTTCTTTAATCTTTTTCTTCCAGTGTCATACCATTGGCCTTTTTACTTTGTTGTATGCCACATGACTACTGTAACCCTCAGTTAAACATAGATGTTAATGTGAAGAAATGTTTGAGGGTTAAAGTCTTGCTGCTTTTGCCTTTTCTAAATATGTATGTAATGTTTTCATAGAATCATTGAGGTATTGCCCTTGCATTTGTGGGGAAGAGTTCACTGACAATTGTTTGTGTAACAACAAGTAATTCTCTAGCTATTGAGCTTAGATCTGAAAATTAGCTCCTGATTTATGGCTTCAAACAATTAATGGACAAATTTCATTATAAAATATGTTGCAGTTTGTGTACAACTGTAAGGACAGTAGGTTTCTTGCTTGTAGAACAGATGAGGCTTTTCTGTGTTTGAATGTAAGATGGTTAAGTTAAATGAACAGATTGTTCCCAGTGAAAGATGTTGCCCTATAATGTCTCCATTTACGCTTTTCATATAATGTGAAATGGAGTGTGAAAGCCAGAGCAGTGAGGATAAGGCATATACAGCCTCCTAAAATCCAGCTCTTAGGAAAAGCCAAGCAATAATCCAAGGATAGGCAGGGTGAATGAGTAAGCCAAAGATACAGATTCTAGTACATAGTAGGACTGTAGCTGAAAGCTCTGTATTAATTTCTCAGCACTCATACACAAGAGAGCATGAAACAAAGATTGACTTTAGCTTGTTAAGAATCAAAACATTTTACAGATTAAAAAGAATATCTGTTCTGAAAAGTTTATGGTTTTTACATATATGTACAAAAAGGGCAAATACATTTCTAAGATAAATTATATCTGTATTCTTCTGTCAGGAATAAGATTATTGGACTTTGTATTTCTGCCATAATAATAGAGACAACAATCTCTCATGTTTTATTATTGTGTTTTTAAGTCAGTCTTGGTACTCCATTACATTTTTAAATAGTACTTCACTCCTGAGAAACTGAAAATAATGAAGTTTTCAACACTATTGCATTTAGTGAATAGATGCTAAGAGTTTTGTCAATAAATCCATATTTTTGAAACCTTTTCTATATAGCAGTTTATTAAACATAGGGAAAACATTTGTTAATGAGTTCTCAATTTCAGGTACTCTGGGTTTGGTGCAGCATTTAATCATTTATGTGTGTGTGTATGTGCTGGGTTATTCTGTTTGTTTATTTAGAAAAAAACCTGTTATTTTTCAGGTCTCCAGCTGAAGCCGTATCACAAGCCTTTACAGCATATTCGAGACTGGCCTGAAATATTCACTGAACTGACAAACTTGGATCCTCAAAGAGAAACTTCACAGCTTTTCCTGAGAAGGGATGTGAGACTTCCACTAGAAATAGAAAAAAAGGTCAGCACTTGGAAGTGAATGAAACTATGATCAGACTCAGAACACTTGGACTGTCAACACTCAGTGTGTATAGTGATTGTAGTAATTTCCAAACTTATTTAAACCTGACATCTCATTTTCTGTAATGGTCTGAGTCTTCACATTCTTCCCTTCCTCTCTCTTGCCTTCCTGCCATCTCTTTGTTCTCTCTCTCTCACCCTCTGAGTTGGGTTTATTCAATGTCTCCATGTGTCAGTCTCTGTCATACAGCTAAAAAAAACCTGTCTGATTTTCTTTCTTGTGCTGTTGTTTTTAGTTATTTAATTGGTCAATTTCAATGGGAATATTCAAACATACTACTGAAAATGAATTTATGGGGGAAAAAATCCACAGATAGCAGTATTTCTGTGAACTTTTTGATTTGGCATGGTGTGCTAGTTGCCTTTTGTGTGTTAGATCAGTGAAGTGTTGAAGTCAATGTAAAACAATGCTTCTATTACAAAGCACCACTAAAATGTACACTTCAGTCAGGATCACACCCTTGTCTTCTGTCTCTGAATCAGTGAGAAATGCTATTCATAGTTTCTAAGCTTATTTTCCTTTTTATAAAGAAATCACATTATTTTAATCTTTTTAACAGATTGAAGATCCATTGGCTATTCTTATACTTTTTGATGAGGCCAGATATAATTTATTGAAAGGTTTTTATACATCACCTGATGCAAAGCTGATTACACTGGCAAGTCTGCTTCTACAAATAGTCTATGGAAATTATGAGAGCAAGAAACATAAACAGGGCTTTCTAAAGTAAGTATGTGTTTAAAATTTAAAATTATGGGTTAGATTAAGTATTTTTAGATAGCACTTCCTATGGAACCCTCAGACTTTAGGTATGGTATATTTGTTGGTTTTCTTCATCACTGAACTATAGTTCAGAGTAACCATGTAACCCTTGTAGCATTAATAGAAGTTGGACATCGTGTGTGAAAACATATTAATCTTAATTATTGCAGTCCTAGACAGAGGATCGGAGATTCTGTGGTGTGTGAAATCTATCCTGAAATACAGTAATGCCAAAAGAAACAACAGTATTAATTTGAAGGGTTCTGACAGGACTGAGGCTTTGGGCAATGTTGAAGAAACATCTTACTGTGGCAGTTAGACCAATGTTTGTGATTAACTTTCCCTCTTTGGACAGACCATGCAGTGATACTGTTTCTCTTCTGTCATTTGTAAGGAGAAATTATGTACTAAATTAGTCAAACCCATAGCACCAGTAGGGCTCAGCCAGATGGTATTTTTCTCTCCCCTTCTCTCTGCATGCCAGCAGAACAGTAGCTGAGCTATTTTGGGATGGTTTGTTCTTCCCACATACATTTCTACAGCAGTATCTGAGCCTATGAGGATTCCAGTTCTCTACTGTGTGCACCTTCACCCCCTGCCATCTTCACCTCACTTCATTCATGGAACAGCATCTGTGCAGTTTTGGAATGCTGCTATACTTCTCATCTTCTCTTATTCACAGCATCAGCTGAGCTGCTTGGCCTGATGGGTTTTTGCATGTATTGCCCTGCAGTTGCACAGCCAGTCTATGGAGCATAAGGGGAACAGGGTTTAAGTGGGACCTCCTATAAGAGTGTGCAGTTCAGTGCAGCTGAGTTTTGTATGAAACTACTCCCTGCTGGCTCCCAGCAGCTGCAGGGTGGTGTTCCTCTCCACACTGAGGCCTATCAGTACTGTGGTTCCAAGTTCATCCTGCCCAATGGACATGTTTGGCTCTACATACAGGACTACCTGCAAAGATGGGTTGGGTTAGATAAAAAGCCATTTAGACACACTTGCTATCCATAATCACATAATTCTTCATATAGATAAAAAGTTTCATAATCTGTTTTTATAGTTGACATAGTTCATTAAAAGATTGGTAATTCCAAAAATACATCCATAGCTGTTGTTTATATGAGAGTATCCTTGACCTTAAAGATCTGATGAACTCTCCTGTGCAGGGTTTTTGCTTGGCAGATCATACATACTGTCAAATACAGCTTAAATAGGTTGCATCACTAGGTCTTGAGACTGTCTTAATTGTACATAAAAGTGAACTAGTAAAGGCTCACATTCTTCCTTTTAGTGTTTTTTGCTTCCTGCATTTTGAGTTTTTTAAAAAAGGCAGTTATTGTAAGTAGCTTCTCTTTCATGTCATGTAATATAACTTCAATATGGAAATTGATTGGTCTGAGTTCTTGGTAGTGCTGACTACAGGAGTGGAAGGAAGAATATTTACAGTCTGAAATATGTTCTGAGAATTTTATATGCTGATGTAAATGGCATTTTGTGTATAATTTTGGCTTCCAACCTGGAATTCACCAAACTGCTCTCTAACCAAGAGAGTAATGTGTTCTGCTGGTGTTTCCTCTCCATGCCATGTCCATGATGTGTGACACAGAGTTTATAGCCAGATCTTCATTAACTGAGAATTGCACTGTATCTTAGGAAACCATCTCATCTGATGAGGCAACATAGAGTAGGAGCTGACTGTCTAGCTCAGTATGTGACTTGAAGGTACACTGTGGCAGATATTGTTCTTTTTTCTTACTTTTAATGAAAAACCACTTTGTTCCTCTTTGTGTTTCTCTTAGTGAAGAAAATCTTAAATCTATTGTACCAATAACTAAACTAAAAAGCAAAGCTCCTCATTGGACAAACAGGATACTTCATGAATACAAGGTAAGATAAATAAAAGATAAATAAGCAGGTAGTAGAAAATCCTGTTCTTAAACATTTTTGACTATTTGATTGTCAATTAATGAATAGAAATACTGGTATAAAAAGCTAAAAATGTGTATGTTCTGAATTTCTGGGATTCATTGTGTAATATATTTCTTGTGTAGATACAAATCTCTGTTAGAAGTAAATGTTTGTTACCTCTTTGTTTACCTTCAGTGTTAGCTCTGTATTGGGCCCACTTCCAATTCAGACAAAGGTGTGAAAAAATGTACTATGATTTAAATTTCCATGTCGGTTTGTAGCAATAGATCCCCAAAGTTCTTTTTATCAGTGTAACTTGTGTCTTAGGGATCTGGTAGTGCTGCTGATGTGCACATGCACAAACACACAGACAGACTCCTTTGTTTAGAGCAGTTAATTGAGCAAAAATTTTAAGTATTTTGTACTTGGGCTGCTTGTGTAAAAATGCATCTAACTGAGGGCTGTGGGTCCCAAATGAGATCAGATTAAATTTGTGGTCATCACAAGTAATTGTGGAAAAAGTAAGGCATGTCAGAAGGAGAACTGTACCAACTGATGTGTGCATCACTAAGGTAGCTGCCAGGAAACATTGCAGAAGCACCTAGTGAATGTTTTCAAACCTTGCTCCTCTTCTTGAGATGAGATTACTCAGTCATAAACTTTCTTTTGGTGTTCACACCTTTTTTGTCAGAAGTTAGCAGATCATTCCTATCTTTCTAATAGAGATGAAGGAGGGGTGATGGTGGTCTAAGACGATGGTGTAGCAAAGTCGTCTACTCTGTCATCAAATTACATGTAAGAACGAGCATAGCTTTCTTGATTTCTGCTTTTGAGACATTATTTTGGGGTATGGGGCTTGGGGGAAGGGGAAAGAAGTTGCAATCTTTTGTTCTGAAGATTTTACATGTTACAAGTGGCTGTGTAGAATTCAGGTAAGCTGTAAAGCAGGGTATGGATCCAGAGAGGCTGATCCTGTCTACCACACCCACAGTCATGGCCCCCTAACTGTTGAAGATTTGAAGATTTGTGTTCTCCCTTGTGTCTGTGCCTTCTGATCTTGTCCACGGCCCAACCAATTTTTTATTTGTTAGAGTGGTTGTTATCATTCTGGTTTGAGAAGCACTCCAGCAATAGTTTGTTCTGACTGCTGCATTCTACTGAAGAGGAAGGAACAGATGCCTGTCTCATTCTGAATGAAAGCTCCACTAATGAAAAGATCTGCACCTCTCTTTTGCTTAGAAAAGAAAAAACAATCCATGTTTTTGGAAGGAGGTATTTGCTCATCTTACCATGTCTCACTAGATTGGACTCCTTAAAAGGAGGAAGAATACTTAGTTTTAAGTGCTTCTGGGAGAGACAAAGCTGTGGGGCCCTTCAGAGGTTGTGTGTCTGTGCTCAGATTTCCAAGGCTCATATAGGTATCTGGGTTTTACCTCAGTCTCTTCTAGCACTTGAGCCTTTCCATGGCCCTAAGGTTTAATTTAGCTGTAGGAAGATGGCTGATGGGAAGGCACTTTGGAAATAAGCATTTAGTAGGGATTTCACTGAACAGTGGATTTTCTTCAGTCACAACTGTTTGGAAGGACTTGTTGATTGCCATTGTTTCTTTAATTTCAGAATCTCAGCACCAGTGAAGGTGTCAGTAAGGAGATGCATCACCTTCAGCGCATGTTCTTGCAGAATTGCTGGGAAATTCCTACTTATGGAGCAGCTTTTTTCACAGGACAGATATTCACCAAAGCAAGTTCAAGTAGCCATAAAGTCATCAAAGTGTACGTAGGAGTAAATGTGAAAGGGCTTCATCTTCTCAACATGGAAACAAAGGTCAGCTTAAGTGAACTGCCAGTGATAACTATAAAACTTAATTCTCTTTTCTTAAAATCTTTGTAGAGAAATGATTTCCCATCCAACTGTTTAGTTAAACTTGACTGAAAATTTCCAAGATTTTAAGGTCTTTATAAGTCACTAACAAAGTCTTGTATTTTTTCACTTTATGAGTTTATGAACTACAACTGTGTTGTGGAATGTAGTGATTTAGGTCTGAATCCTGTCTTTGTGAATGAAGGGTAGTTCAGTTTGCAAGTATGGAGGATATTTTCTGAGTGACACTTTCCTACATTTGGTCATAGGCTTTACTTCTCAGCCTGAAGTACGGCTGCTTTATGTGGCAGTTGGGAGATGGAGATACGTGTTTTCAAATCCACAGTCTGGAAAATAAAATGAGCTTTATTGTACATACCAAACAGGTAAGCACTATCATTTTACATCCTTTATGTTCAATTACTTTTTTCCTATATTAGATACACAAGCCTCTTTTCTCTTGAGATTGACCACCCTTGCACAGTATAAAAGAAGCTTAAGCCAAATTCCCACAAATATTATTTTAAAACTTTATTATTAATATTTCAGAATGTTTGCCTGTTTTCTTAGCATGTGAAGCCTTCAAAATTCAAAATACATAAAATATTTCTATAATCATTAGGATAAATCTTTTGTTTAATTGAAACTGTTTCTTGCATATGCCCAACCGCTCATTCTCTTTGATTAATTCCAAATACAAAGAGATTCAGAGAGCTGGAGCCAGTAACTTTGTGATCGAAAGTAATGGAGTTTGAGATTCGATAAAGCTGAGAATTGCTTTTGTCACATACATGATTGTCATAGTTCTGAAATGCTGATAGAATTTACTTGCATCCCTTTACACAGGCAGGACTCGTTGTAAAACTCCTGATGAAATTAAATGGCCAGCTAATGCCAACTGAAAGAAACGAGTGATGGAAATGAACAATAGTTATGAGATGGCATCTGATGGCTGAGCAAAAAACAACTTGTTCCTCCTCATAACAGGACTTCCATGTACATGAATTTTCCACAATAGAAAAGTCAATTTGTACAGTTTTTTTAACTTTGTACAGACGCTGCATGGATTATTTTTTTAAAAAAAACTATACAACATATCTATTATTTTTATAAATATTTTTGTGTTTCATATATTAATTATTGTAGGGCTTGAGCTTAACCAATAAAGCTGATGAAATCTAAATGGTTTACCGAGTTTGACGAGCATGAACCCAGTAAAGCTGTTGTTCCCAGAGAAATACGGGACTACCAGTGCCATTAAGCAAGTCTCAGTTAACCTATTTACTTTTCATGTCATTGCGTGGAACATCAAGGAGGTGGTATATGTTGCAGTATTTTGTAGACACCCTGTATTTTTAAGCTATTATTGAAAATATGCTTAAAAGATCAGTTAGACCTTTGAGCAACTACTTTTGATAAACTCTTGGTTTTTATTTGGTTTCTGACAAACAATTTAGCTCACTTTTACTCTTAACTTTCTCATCTTTGTATTAATATTTATTCTAAAATACTGCATGAGGATGCCAAAAGGGAAATACTTTAAATCATTCAGAAGCCATATTGAATGTTTAGCATGCTTGTTTTGTAGAATGGATTTTTACTTTTGCTGTGCAATATAAAATGTATGTATGGAGGAGAGGGAGACAGGGATCTTTGCAGATGAACCTTACTCAGAGGACTTGAGAAAGTTTTATAAATCCTACCCTGGATTGCAACACATATGCAGTAACAGAAGCTTATACAGGAGGTACTAAGTTATTTCTCTTAAATTAATTTTCTTACTGCTTAATTCAGTTTCTTCAGGCTAAAAGCAGTGCAGTATGCAGGAATGAAGATGACAAGGAAGTCAGAAACAGTTTGTAAGCATTCTGCCTGCTCTTTGTAGGGTTCGGGTTCCACAAGTTGGGTCCCAAGTGTAAGGTGGGATTCTATGCAGTCTGAAGCATATCCTTGTATATTAAAATAGAATTTGTAACACAAATCTTTGAAGTTTCTGGTTGTATTTCAGGGTTTTAAGTGCACTTGACTGTTTCTTCCATGTAAACTGCATGCTAAAATGGTGTGCAATATTTTGTAAAAAAAAAAGGTTTTATAAAAAATAAAAATTAGCACTTGCCTCTAAGTTTTCAAATAAAAGCTACAATGAATGTGAAGAACTGTGCTGTTGTATAGTAACTTTACTCATACCTTACTAGTAACTGCAGTTTAAGAAATTAAAGTAATAAGCCGTTAAAAACATGAACAGGAGATTTGTATTTTGTATTCTTCTTAGCAAGCTGTACTTTTCTACTTAAACCTCACAGGCCTAAATAACAGTAAATTTTCATGGATTGTTATGCTTTATTTAAGGTGAATAATGCAGCAGTCAGGTCCTTCATCATGCATCCCTGCTATCACTTGTCACTGGTATCAGAAATACATTTCTCTACGTAGCACTTTCTTAGAAAACTAGAGGAAAATGTTAGGAAGATGTGTCAATTGCCTATATAACAATACTGTCAATATGCCTTATTGCTGTATAGTCCTTTCTGCTAAATTCTTATTTATTACTACCTAATAAATTGTTTGCAACAGGTCATATTTGGTGTCTCTATTTTTGTATCCAGCCTGAAGGTGCCATCAAATGTTACACCAAGCAGGTGTTATTACCAAAGAGCAGTAGTTTGTAGGCTCTTTGTAAGGCTTATCTTTGTAAGATATGTAAGAAAAGCATCAGAGAGGATCAGAGAGTCCCATGATGATTCTAAGTTAAGGTAGTGTACCTTGGAAACTGCTCAGGAATTTACCAGGTAAACTGGAAACTGTTCATTTTGGCAAGGCAGAGGTTTGCAGATGTTGCACATCAGTGGAGCCACTGAGCAGCAAGAGCCCAAGTCTGCAGTCCCAGAGGCTTCTGGCAGCTGGGTATGCAGGAGCTCGCACTGCCCTGCTGGGGCAAGGTAGGTGTGTGCTCTCTTTTCATCTGGAAGCAGGGAAATAAAAAATGGGAACAGAAAGATACCCAATACCACTGAGACAGACTATTAGCAATAACGCTCATCTCACTACCAAACAAAAAAACAATGAAAATGAGCTGACACTTGTGCCTTTGCAAACATGAGATGCCCAGCTCACCACCTACAGTCCATCTAACAAGCACATTCTTAAAAAGCAAGAACCTATACAGCTGCCAAAAGCAAAGTTCGGAGTAGAACATTCAGCTAGGCCCTGTAAGGCAGAAGAGTTTAAGAGAACTTAAAACTGTGAAAAACAGACAGGATTTTACCAAGTGGAATAACTCCAGTGAGCAACTTGTTCAAGATGGAAGCCTTGGTCCTGGGGTGATGTCCTGCTGCTGCTGCTTGGTGCAGGGAATAATTGCTCCAGGGACGTGGGAGTTTCCCAACCATTGTCAACTTATAGCTAGATGCAGTTTGAAGCTGAGCTGTTGACTGAAAAAAGAAATACAGGTTCAACATACATGGTTTGCAAAAGCTCTGCTTTACCTTAACTGTTATTACTATAGGATAAAGATATAAAAATAATGTACAAAATTACTATTCGATAAAAATTTAAATATAACTAGCAATTGCATAAAAATGAAGTAAAAGCTATATTCATATATAGGTAATTAATCTGGAAATCCTCTCCCTTGGAAGAAATAGACTGACACTATTCCACCAAAAATGTCCTTACTTCATAAATTGACAGATAATGTCAGTAACAACCAGTGATAGCGCTCATGTCCTCTGAAAGAATTGTCAAGGCTTGTAAATACGAAGGAAGTATTTCTCAATCACTACAGCACTGGTGAATTTCCTTTGGCCCTGAAAAGTGTTGAAACTTCAGAGCTTGCAGGCAACAAATTGAAAACTATTAGATCCCTGTGGCTGACATGAAGAGTCTGAAGATACTCAACATGGATTCCGTGCGCATCTCAGCATTCACAGGTGTTCTCTGCTACCTCCACTCATCTAGTAATACTCAGCACATGTGAGACCTTGATACAGGGTTTACCACAAGATATTACACATTTAAAAAAAAAACTACAAAAATATTCATTCAGTAACAAGCTTATGCTTTTGCCTTGACTAAACTAAAAGTACTCAGAACTGATGACAACAAATAGTTCATTTCAGATGAAGTCGGGAATATATGAGAGTTTAGGTTTCTGAACTTTGCAGAAATGTATTTAAAAACATTACAGATAATCTGCAACCGTTCCCTGTTGAAATGTCTCATAGTATGTCATGATCAACCAGCTTCCTGCTCGTGTTCCCAGATGTACACATTAAAACTTACGAAACTGACTGGAGTCGCTGATGAACAAATACTGCCTTTAAAAGACCTACTCAAACCAGAATTTTCCGGAAATGCACTAAGATACATTCCTGTTAAATTAAACAATTGTATGTGCGCAACAAGCTGACCCCGGCTGTGATGAGCTCTCTGTCTCCAAATGCAGCTTCGTGCCCTATTTCACCTTAAACCCTTAGGTCTTAGTGGAAACTCATTTCAAAAACAATACGCGGATTTTCCGACATTAAACATTTGGAGTGTCCGGAATTAAACACAAACAAGCCGTCCTCGTTCTCCGCGCAAACAAACCAGCGCCCGAGTGGGGGCGCCGGCAGTGATGCCCGGGGCCGGCTCGCCGTGACGGGCCCCATGTCCCGGCGGAGAGCCGCGCTCCCCGCGGTTCGCGGGCCGGGCCGGGCCGGAGGGGGCCGAGCCGGAGGCGGCCGGGCCGGAGGGGGCCGGGCCGGAGGGGGCCGGGCCGGAGGCGGCCGCGCCGGAGGCGGCCGAGCCTGAGGGGGCCGAGCCTGAGGCGGCCGAGCCTGAGGGGGCCGAGCCGGAGGCGGCCGCGCCCGGCCCCGCGCGCCGCCCGCCAATGGCGCGGGCCGCAGCCCGGCCGATGCCGTCACCCCGCGCGGCGCGGCCGCGGGTTGGCTGCGGCGCCGGCAATCGTCACATGGGCAGAGATCAGCCCAGCGCCGCGAGCCGCCGCCCGCGCCCCGCCCCGCCCCGCGGAGCCGCGCCGAGTAGCGGCCGCGCCGACGAGATGCTCAACCTCATGGAGGTCGGCGGGTCCCTGCTGGAGCGGGTGGCCGTCGGCAACCCCCTCTCCCTGGCGCTGGCCGCCTCCGCCTTCGTGCTGAGCCTCGGCTACCTGTTCCAGCTGGGGTACCGGCGGCACCTCGGCAACGAGCAGAAGGTGAGCGGTGCGGGCGGGGGCTCGGCGGGCCGGGGGAGCGGGCGCAGCCTGGGGCCAGCCCAGGGGCAGCGGCCGAGGCCCGGCGAGCGGAGCGGCGCGGGCGGCGCTCCCCGGGCTCGCCGCTCCGGCTGCCGGCGCGGCCGGGCGGCTTCGCCCTCAGCCGGCGCCGCAGCGCGGCGGGAGCAGCGCCCGCGGCTTGCGGAGCCGAGCGCGCTCCCGGTGCCGATGCATCGATGGGCCGTAAGAGAGAGAAGGTGCCCGCTGGTCTGTGAAACACAGTGCTAACCTGAAGGCCCTTTTGAAGGGCTTTTGAACAAATCCTCCAGCGCCGTTTCGTTTCTGGCTGCCTTCATTTCAGTTGCAGTATCTTCGTGCTTCACATTCACAGGCAGCACAGGAAGAATCTTAATCCTATTCCCTTTATTTTAACCTTTGTTGCGTTTAAATGTGCTTCTATCTAAACAACTGAATATTCTTTTTAAGTTGGCCTTTTCACAAAAGGGTTTAAACAAATATATAAAAAACTTGCTCTGTGGTTAGTTTTTATGTAAATAGACTTGATTTTGTTACTTCTGGGCACTGGCCCGTGCCAGGAAGGTGAAGCCTGGCAGAGTTCAAGAAGCGTTTGGACAACTGTGTCAGGCACAGGCTGTCACCCTTGTGGGTGGCCCTGTGCAGGGCCCCGAGCTGGACTTTGATCCTTATGGGTCCCTTCCAGTTCAGGATATTCTATTAGTTCATGAGTCTGATAATCTCTGAAGAAAATTCAGTGTTTATTTTTCTCTTTCTTCTACAGAACTACCCACCTTTTATTCCATCAGGCATCCCTTTCCTTGGTCATGCAATTGCATTTGGAAAAAGTCCCATTGAATTTTTGGAAAATGCTTATGACAAGGTATGTTTTCCCACATGATTGGCTGAGCATATACAAGAATATTTTTGTGTATCTATTAAGTTCTCTGTCTGAGGCCTGTTTAAAATCAGTTCATTCTCATTTACCACCTCAAATATGGGTGTGCACAGTAGGCATTGTGATCTTCAGATCTCTTTATGTAGCAGTAGTGTTTTCTGAGCTCTCATGATTCACATCACAAATATGTTTGTACATTTGGGTAATACTCATAGCTGAATCACAAGTGAGTTAAAAAATCATTTGCATGAAGTTTTTTCTTGCTGAAATTGGTAACTTTTAATCACATTATTTACCAATTTATGACCAGGTTGGAATGTAGCTGGTCACCTCTATCAGCAACTTGATGAATTTTAAGGCCTCTCTGATGTTTTAAAAGAGCTGGTGTTTAAAGAGCTCAGTAGTTTTTATACTGTAACAGCCTATAAGAAATTAACTAAAGTAGAGCTTTAATTCCAATTAAATTAGATTTATGAAGCTGTTTCACATTGTCTAAAACTATCTAGAGTTATAAGCTTAAATCTTAGCTTGATTAGCTTAGAGGAAGCCAAATCTGGTACATGAAGGTCTACTGGAGATGACTTCTAAACTTCAAAATCTTATTTGCCCCTAATTATGTATGCATAACTCCGTAAGTTCAGATTTTTTTTGAGAAAGTGTTTGTAGATTACTAGGGTAAATATGTGCTGCAATCTCTCTGCTAGTTTTTTTTTGTGTGTGGTTGATCTTTTATTAATGTTTTCTAAAATAAATGGTTTTAAAATGTGCATGTTCACATGTGTTCATTATAACATTAGATATCACTATGTACATAAAGAATGAATTTAAATGTGGTTTTAAAATGTATTTATCTTTATTAAATGTCTGGACTTACTTCTTAGGATAAAAAGTAATTTATGAAAGACTGTAGGGGATAAGGATTTAATGATTTTTGTTTTTATTTCAAATAAATTTATTTTTTGTTTATTCTTTCTCTCAGTATGGACCTGTGTTCAGTTTCACTATGGTTGGCAAGACATTCACATATTTACTGGGTAGTGATGCTGCTGCTCTGCTCTTCAACAGCAAGAACGAGGATCTGAACGCAGAGGATGTGTACTCCCGGTTAACCACGCCGGTCTTCGGCAGGGGAGTTGCCTATGACGTCCCGAATGCGGTTTGTATTTTAAATTGCAGACCAGTAGAAAAGCAGTGCAGCTGCAATGCTGAGTAGGCAGCCCTGAGCTCTTGGCTCTGTGTGATGGGGTTTTGTTCGTGTGTCTGTGGCATATTGCAGTGGTATAGGTAAATCGTCTATTCTGGATAATCTGGTATGTTCAGGTTGCTTTCTTTACCACCTGGCCATTTGTCACTCTGGAAGTTATTTTTTGTTCTTGACACCATTTAATCTCACCATAGAGGAAAAACTAGTGAGTCACACTTTTTTCTTCCCTTGCAGCATGCCCCTACCTGCAGCTCACTTTTTCCTTCCAAG